CTGCATTTCTCATTTTTAAGGATACTTCAGTGACAGAGCAAACATTAGTTTATAGACGAAAATGATACATAATAGAATTATAGAACATCTTTCATTTTAAAGAATTCTAACATATTTTCCAATGAACTGTCTGGGCAATTTTCCACACATACAGAAGGACCAGTCAGAGTGAAAATACAAAATGGAATACCAATTTAGTAGGCTGAATTGTCCATATTTATAAATATCATTGTAAAACAGGTAGTGCATTTGAACTTTAAGTTATACCCATTCATTGGCATGTCCAATTAAAAGTTACTATTTTAAAACAATCCACACTAAATAGCACCTAACAGGCATATTTTTCACAGATTCTTGTAGCACAAAGCATAAAATATAATAATATTGTTGAAAAAAGCAATGTTCAATTCTTCACATTATTTAATACTATGTTCTGTGTAATACATTTGCCCTTTTTTGGTATTAAAATATGAAAAGTTAACTAAATTCTTTTCTCAGGTTCCAGAAATTTTAACATGAACTCATTTGCAATTTTTATGGATGTAAATCCAGTGAATTCAGTGGAGATACTTCTCGCTTACAGCAACATCCAGGCATCTACTGACAGAGGTGTGTGTGATTTGTAATAGGCCTTTGATTACAAAAATATCTTTAATACAAACAGCAGCAGCATCAAAGCAGAAAGCAAGATTTTGCTGACCATAAACCTGAAATTTTTAACAGCAGCAATGTGTGACAACTAGAATTGCTATTTCAATACAATTACTGCATTCACTTATTTTTCCTGATGCACGTGGGCCAGCCCTGAAACAGCCTGAAATTATTTTTCTCACCTTGTCCTACAACCTTGCTTTGCCAATACATGCCTTGTTGTAGATGACAAAATACATTATATATTTTTTGGGGGGGAGGGGGGCGTGTGTGTTCTTAATTCTTGTTCTGATCTACAAATGAAAATCTTTACTTAAAAAATTAGTGTCTAGATACTGTTTTATATTGGTTCATATAGAAAGGCCATGATTGCTGTAAAAGATTTGGACTGTCTAACTGAAGCTGAGATACTTCAAATAGCAAAAATGCATCAATACTACTTTATTCTGCTGAATGGTAGTCTCCCCCATTAACAGCTAAATTGAAATTAACAGTATTAACTGAAAAGATCAAAATAGTTTTGTTTAAAAGTTTTTCATACATATCAACAATGTAAGTATTCAGCATACTAGGAAATCAGGTAGGACTCAAATTTTTAAGACTTCTTTTGAGCTGAGCTAGGAGCAGGTATGTTCCAAACAGGAAAAAGAAAAAATGCAACAAAACTCTGGAGCCTATCTGTAGAGAATTAAGATTCTAATATTTTTTTAAAATGTTGGCAATTAAAGAACCTTGTATCCAACAGGGAGTCAGAGATCAGGGGTAACTTTCTGGAACCAACTGCCAACGTGTAGTCCTGTCAGCTAAACTTCACAAAGCCAGTTACCTCAGTAATGCATGGGGCTTTCTTTCTGTAGATACTATCTTTATTTACTCTGTAGGTGTTGTAAGAAAGGTCCTGAAAAAAATTCCCAAGCTGAATAAGGCCTATCCATTCACACCTGAATACAGAATCAATGCCCTTGCCCCCAGACCTTGTAAACAGGAACTGTTTGGGCATTTTGCCAACAGGCAAAACCCCCTGATTCTTTGTTTCTTTTCTCCATGTTTATGCCTTTACCAAATTCCCTACATGTTTGCACTGTTTGACTGAGAATAGCATATGGCATTGCAGCAAGGGATTAGTGTAGTTATTAACTGATGTGCATTGTGAATTGGGCAAATGATTGCTTAAATTCATTGATTTCACCAGAAGTTCAAGCCATGTGGACTGAACCACTTTTCTGCCATGTCTTCCACTACAGGTGCAAATTCCAGGTGACAGCAGTATTTTTCCCCTAATCTTTTAAACCCATTTACAAAAATCAACTTTTTTCATTTTTCCTTCATGGGCTTCTAATGCACTTTGCAAGGCAGGTAAAATTATCTTTTGAGCGATGTCTTTAGAAAATGTGCCTGGACATGCTGGTTTGTGTTTGCATAGACCTTTCTTGTGGCATGAGGTCCATGTTCTCCACAGAGAAGCAGTACTGGTGTGTAACACTGCAACAGGGAGGCAAGAACAAGGCACAGTTTAAAAAGCAGACCTTGGGGGTCTGTGTTCTTGCCCTGGAAGAACTCTGGATAACTTCCTAGGAAAGGACAATTGATTCTGTAGCCTTTAGTAAGGCAAAATTTGAATTGTAGGTTATGACGTGGGGTCGTTACCTCTCTGTCTCTTTTTCTGTGGCTGGATCTGAGGGGAGTCACAAAACTTTTCTGTTGCAACACGGGATCAGGAGGTGTCAAAGGTTGAGGCCTTGCTTCAGAAAATACAGGCCCCAGACCAGCCTCCAAACCATGCCACAGGATTCTGGTGGAGATCCTGATCTTTTCACTGCTTTCAATAAAATTTCAAAAGTAAACAGATTAGGCCATTTGGTAATCCTCTGCTGATTCAGTGTGTTTGTGAGCTGTTTTTTTAAAGGTTTGCTTAAAAATGCAGAAAAGTAATTCTAAAACTGTATTTTTAAATTTATTCTAAATAGGAAGATAGCTAGTAGGACTTTCAATTTTGTAAATTATAAATGCAATAAATAATTGGGGTTGATATTTCCAAATTTTTTTCAATAATTAATGACGTTTTTATCTGAAGAAAAATTAATTTTTATTACAAACATACCATCTACTTTTTATCTTCTGTAAATTCCTTTTTTCATATAAAATAGCAAGATAGACTGATCCCAGGTATTTAATTATTAATTCTGTGGATACACAGTTCACTTCAGGAGTCTCAGCCCTGAGGCCAGCACCCCAAGCTGCACACAAACCTGCTGGGAAAACCAGTGTGAGGGAAAGAGATCAAATTTTTATAACACGGATGTTTAGGAAATCTATCAATGTTTTGTCTAATCATCATTAATTTAAGTAACACATACAAAATGCACATACATATAAAGTTTAAAATATATGCATGGTATCTATAGCGGCAGAAAATTGTTCTACTGCACACCAGAGACAAACAGGAGCTCTTTCTGTAAAATTTATTGATGGGGAAAAAAATGTGAATAAAAATATTGTATGAGGAAGGCCTACAGAAGCGTAACTGTGTTCTTTAACACTGCTCATTAATCATTTAAATAGTGTATTAATCCTATAGCTAGGTTATTGGTGCTAGAAGGAATGCAAGTGAATTTTATATATCCTCAGTAGAGAGCCAGATAGAATCTATTTTAAAAAATAATCTAAAAATAGCTGATTTACAAAGTGTGATCTTTACATTTTACTGGAAGTAGCTGTACAAAATTACGTTTTAATTTAAGAGCTTTTAAGTAACAGTTGGTATGAAGCAACTGTGGTATTTCAGCAGAACAGAGCTGATCTTTGCTGATGTTTGGATGTGTTTCTCTTTTCTCTTAAAGCAAGATCCTCACATTGATCCACGTTCTCATCTCTGATTCTCTGCTCTTACATTCTCAGAATACTACAGGAGAGACCACAGGAATTAAACCAATCCAAATCTGACAATTAGGAAGATTGGACAAGTCTGGAATGTATTCACAAACTAAGTACTCATATACTCTAGTATAAGTAAAAAAAAATAAATTCTACGGTTAAATTTTTAACCTAATTGGCTTATGAGAATTTAACCTTTCATAAATGCTGCTTCTGAACAGTATTATTTTCATGGAAAATATTAGCTAAAAAGCATATTAGCACCACAGTTCTGACCTAAGCTCCTCCAAATCAGATTTCAGTCTTAAACAAGTGAGAAATTTGTTGCACTGAGGTTTGGATACATCCTATTTCACTTTTTCTGCAATTATATTGATATAAAACGTAAAATGTTAGAATTCTGGAGAAAAATTTGATAACTCATCCTGATATTCATTTACAAAAATGTACAGATCCTGCATATAGTCATCAGATAAATCACATGCCAACAACTTTGCTTTAACAGTGTGTCACTGTCTCACTTCAGCTGAATTTCCAGGCCTTTTTGAAATACTCAAATTGATTTAGTCTGTATAGGTCAACTCTTAAAATTAACCTGACTGCAGTGACAATGTGATCACAATGTGAATGTCTGGATGTTTATGTGTAGCTTAAGCTGGCATTAAATGTCAAAAATATCACAGATACATTTACACCAGCTGAGCTCCTGCATGTATGTTGTGTGAATATGCCGTATCTGTGAAACATTGTATAAATTACAAGTTGTATCATGTGTTCATTCAGTGGTAAATATCTGTGCAGTATATTTGCAACCATGAGAAAGTTCAGTACCTCTACCAGTGTTTTCAACACTTTCTAGAATCCCACGAGGAAAGTATGGTTATGTAACTTTTAAGTAAAAATAATACTTCAATTCTTTAGGATATTGATACCAAAATGCTAATAGTAACATGAACTTAAACAGCTCTCTCTAGCAGGCTCAGGTTTACACTGCCTTACAATAATACATTCTACAACTTATACCAGTACAAAAATTAGCAGTCTTTAAATTCACTCATAAAGACCATATACATATAGACACACATAGACACACAGAAAGGAATGTTAAAATGTTCAAGAGATACTTTGCAGCTGAATACTTTGTGGGGAAAAAAAAAAAAAAAAAAAAAGAAGGGAAAAAAAGTCTCAAGAAAAATGAAGTACCACAAAAATTTCATCCAAACAATAAAAAAAAAATGAAAACAAAATTATATTTGCTTTAAAAAAAAAAAAAAAAAAAAAAAGAGGGAGGGATTGACAATATAAATGCTACCAGTGTTTAAAAGATTTTTTTCAAGGTATAAACTGCCTCTCCTTTTTAGGGACCATCTTTTCTCCCAATTCACCTGTATTGCATGACCATCCTTTGAAAGGTGACTTTTTCTTCAGCTTTTTCTGGCATTTTAAGAGAAAACCACCACCAACAGTTAGAAAAGTTTTATGTTTAAGTTTCAGATTTATTTTATTTTCTATCCACTTTTTTATTGCTGAAGAGAACATTAAAGATAGAACATTATTATTTATTTAAAGTGTATAATAGCCCTTTACTAAGTGCAGCAGTAGTTTACTACTAACTTTACTGTCCATTGTAAGAGCCATAATGTGCTGTTTTCTTTTGCAGAACAAAGTGACCACCAAAAGCGGGACTTTGTGGGCCAGTTGGATAAAACATAAGCTCATCTCGCCCCCAAAACCCCGACTCTGGAACCACAGCCTTCCAAGATTCAATTTGTAAGTAAAATATCTTTGTAAGATATGCCAAATCAATAGAGTCATTGCTTATAGAGTGGGTAATTTTCAGACTAATCAAAAGAGAACATTATAGCCCAGTTGCAATACACCCTCCTTCACTTTCTTGACAGCAGGAATTCCTAACAGATACTAATTGATTTTATTAATATTTTATGAACTATTTATCAAGCAGGTAAGAAGCACCTTTTCTAAGTGTCTGTAAAATGACACAGAATAACCGTAATAAGACACAGCACTCAAAATATCTATTAAGATTTCTTCTCAAAGTATGTAACAATACTGTTTCACTGTATTTCAGACTAAAGTTGACATATTATAGAGAAATACCTGTCATTTTTCTAAATTTGTTATTAGTACAATAAACTAGAAATTATTTTCACTTTACTTGAAAACAGGTCTCTTCCTACTGACAATGATAGTCTCAAGTATTCTGCTCTACACCATCATCTTACTACCCTCAATATTATGTTTCATAAAATCTTCTCTCAAAGATGAGAGAAAAAGTAGAAATTCACAGACAAAAAGGAACATATACTCTAAATCTTCACTTTATAATTCCAACACAGTTTCTATATAAAATCCATGTTTAAAAGCATTATAGCTTACACTTGGATGGTTGAAGTAGGTTAATGTTGTCAGTTACTTTAAAAGAAACTAATTACTGTCCTTGAAAAGCCACTATTACGTTCATTCTGCTTTTGATAATCAAAATGCAGAGCCGAAGAATGCTGTTCTAGCTGAACTGCTTTATAATCACCAAATACATCCTGAAAGGAAAACGAAGAGAAGTTGATAGAAATTCTGGCTAAGTAGAAATGTTTAAATAATTCCTCTTTGTATAAGACCATACATTTTAACTGACTTATTTACGGCTGTGATGATTTAGGAGGCTTTTCTGGCTTTCACACGAGCTGATCAGACGGTGCGTATCGACACCCCTCCGCACGCGCATTGGTAGTTATTTGTGCCTGGCGAAAGTCGCCGCAGAAGGCGCGCGGAGGCAGCGGGACGGTACCGGTGGCTGGACACCGTGGGGAGCGGACACCGTGGGGAGCGGTGACCGTGGGGAGCGGACACCTGTAGCTCCCGAGGGTGCCGGCGCGGCGGCCAACCGCCCCTTCCCCGCGGGGCGCGGCGGGCCCGGCGCCCCGCCCGGCGCGCACCGTCCGCGGCCTGCGGCAGGTGGGCGCGGGGCCGCGCCGGGAGCTGCCCGGGGCCGCGCGCCCGGCCATGCGCGGCCCCGCGGCGCCGCCGCTCCCGGGGCGCCTTTCCGCCGCCGCGCTGCCTCGGCCTCGCCCGCGCGCCCCGGAGCGCGCCCGCCGCGGAGCCGCCCCATCCCCGGCAGGGCGCGGCCCCGGCTGCCCGCGGAACGGGGCGCGGGGCGGCGGCCGCACCTGCGGCCTCGGCGGGGACGCCGCGCGGCCGCGCCGCTCCCCGCGGGCCGGCGGGCGGCGCGGAGCGGGGGCGCGGGGGGAGCGCGCAACTCACCACTTGTCAGTGCCCGCGGCGGTGCCCCGGCGAGCCGGGAACGGGAATGGATCGGCGCCCGCAGCGGGCGGGGATCCCGCGCGCAGGGAGCCGCTCGCCGGGCAGGTCCCCGTTCTTGAAAGGAGACAGCCTCCGGTCCTCGCTCCGAGCCGGCTCCTTCCGTTGGCAAAATCCTGACTCATTACATAAAAAGATCACCCTGCCAGGCGCCCTGAAACATTTCTTCATCACGGTCACGCCACAAGCTAAACAAGAGGCCACATCTAGGGGAGGGGGAGAGGGGGGAAGCGGA